TGCTCTCTGCATTTTGCAGGCTTCTGCTGTTGTTGTTGAGGCAATGGAGAGTTTTGGAGGACAAGGTTACATGGAGGACACAGGCTTGCCAGTCATAGTCCGCGATACTCTGGTAAGAAAGCAGCAGGAGAAGCAGAAGCAGCTCCTGCATGTCACCTAGTCCCCTGCACAGTGCTCCGTGGTTGCCTGCTGAAGACACGCTCAAGGGAAAAAACAGTCCTCCCCAGACTCACTCCAAGCGTGGCAGCTCTCTCCTAGTTGCCTTCGTGCTGAGCCCAGTCATCACCAGGGAGGGGGCGTGATGTGTTCCTGGTGCTGGGGTTGTTGCCTAGCTCGGTAATGGAGCTGGGCTCCTAGCTCTCATCACCACTGCTCCTTCCCACTTGTGGTGAGGCAAGACATCCCTGGAGATTTCCTTGATATCCCCTAGCTCTGCCCCATGTCTTCCTCACATTCCCCTTTCTTTATTGCAGTCGCTCCAAAAGGCTCCTTCATGCTCTTCCACAGTCTTTTCTACGCCCCACAGGTGCTGTCCATATGGGAGGGAACAACAAATATCCTGTCACTTGATGTCCTGCGGTCCCTCACCAAGAGTCAAGGGCAGGTGATGGCTGCGTTCTTCTCCGCAGTGCAGGTGAGCCCGCATCAAAAGCACCGGTCAGCCTGGTGTGCTCACCTTGGCGGAGTCTTATTTGGTGTTTATGCTCCTAGCTGGGTCTGGTAAGGCATACGACCAAACCGAAAGCTTTAGACAAGCGTTCAGAAGCTGTCTTACAATTCTGCTCTTTAAATAGCACTTACAAAAGCAGAACGCAGGCAGTGCTCATTTTGGGATCCTTGTGTGCTGCAAAAAAATGCAGATACTTTCATCTCAGCAGTGAAGAGTTCTGCATTGCCGGAGTTCCTCATGACAGGTACCAATGCAAGTATATTTTTAATGTGAGAGAGTCACCTTCCTGAACCCAAAATAATTTTGTGGTTTTGTTTCTTAACTGGAAAAACACCACAAGACTGCTGAATATTAAACCTTCGCTAGGGCTGCCTACTGCATTACGATTTTTATTTTTATTCCTACTGAAGAGATGGAAAGAGCCGAAGGAATTCCATTGCTGCCTCTTTAGATTTGCCGTTCTCTGGCTTTGCCTACAGGCTGCTCTTTTAAAGGTGCTCAGATGACAGGCAGTCACGGAGAGTTCAAAGCAGCTCAGAATTTCATGAAGGTAAATGAGCATCAGCTGTCTTGATATGTCCCGTAAAAGGAGACAGGAACCAGCCTGAAAGGCATGATCGGCATATCCGAGGGTATTCCCTCCGAGATTCGATTATTAATCCAGATAGAACAATCCAGATTATGTTAGCCCAGATACAGTGAGGGAATCCTGGGCATCTGGAGTGCTGGGTTTGACTACGTGTAGCCTTCACTTTCGCATCCAGACCCCACGAGAAGGGAAAGGTCTGGGTCACCGCACTCCCTGCAGCACTGACAACTGGATGGGTCTTTCAAAAACACGCGAGGAAGAGCCCGACTCCTCCTCGCCAGTGGCCGCAGCTGGCAGCTTCTGTTACATTTCAAACCCCCAGCTCAGCTGTATTCTGTACAGAGCACCCCTCTGACCTCCGGAGATGAGTGTCTTCTTACCATCCTCTCGGACAACTTTTGATAAAGGAAAAACACCTCCCAACAATTTGACTGCCGAACAAGAAACCCAAATCTGCTCATAAAGCAGGGCTGAGCACACCTGCTAATGAAAAAGCCAACTGGTCCAGCTGCTGATAAAAAGCAGCTTAGCCTGACACTGCAGGTGATGGAGTGGAGAAGGAAAGGAGTGGGTGGTAGGCTCTAAAAATAACTTGGAAAGAAGCCGGCCTCCACAGGCTTACGCTTACGCTAATTTAAACGAATACCCCACAAAGGTGCCATACTGCAGTCCTCAGAGCACCGCACTGGAGTAGCTGAGAGGGCCCCTCCAGCTTCTTAACAACTGGATAATCAGAGAAGCACTAAAGAACACGGCAACGTGATTCAGAGCAGGTACCTGCTCTGAATGTTACTCTGAATGTTACTGCTCTTACACAGCAGTAACACCAAGTATCGAGATTTATTAATTAACAAGCTCATCATTGCTCTTGCGCTCCCACAGATCAGGCTGTATATAAGACTAGAGGGTGAACAAGCGAGCACTGACCTTAAAGGTCTCCAAATTCCGGTAAGTGCCATTGCATTTGCTGCTCCTGTCACACCGAGGCTGCCTCCACGTCCACGGAGCGTGGCGATGGAGTGGCTGGAACGGGCTGAGCTGGGAGAGCAGTATTGATGCGCTGATTCTGGATGTAATAGATCGTACTTGGCAAATTTAACCTGGACGTGTCAGAAAGCTTTTCCCTTACGTAGCCAGGCACTGGAAAGGCAGACCGGGAGGTATTTCTGCAGAGTGCCTCTGCAGCATCGGGCAGGAACGTGCCGAGTTTCTACGCCAGAATCAGGGTTTCGCTCACAGGTGATAAACAACCTCTTTCTGAGCTCCAGGTGTCCAGCTTCTTTTGGTCTCTGGGAGTCTGGCTCATTTTGAAACATCCTTCCCATTCCCGTCTAGTGAGGCAATCATTTAGCCCTTCATAAAGGGACTTTTACTGCTCCAATCCATTTCCTTTTTATTGATGCACACAAAACTAGTACAACTGATTTTACGGTTGTCCATCAAGGTTCTCAGTTTGCAGGGTTTGTGCCCAATGACAGGCTCCTTTGGAGAAAGCAGCATTAGTACTTTGTTGGCACAGCACAGCACTTTGTTCTCTGAAGGTCGTATCTCAGGGTAACTTCCCCGCCGACCCCACTGCCACCTATTTTTGCCTTTATCCTGTGTCAGTTGCCTCTACGGATGGTGGGATAGCTAACGCTGATGGTGCTGTGACCTAGGAGCAGGAACCCAACGTCGTAATTATCCTCAGGAAAAGGGAAATACGGGGAACTTCCTCATCCCTGCACAGTGTGATTCTGAGAAGCTGAATTTTTAGGGTTCTTGATCACAGGCAAGTTTGTCACAAACCACCAGAGGTAATTTGTCTGCAAAGCCTCAGGAGGACACACGGCGAGAAGAGCAAGTGCGAGCGAGAGTCCTGGATTCCAGCTCAGCCGTGGTGGGAGTTTCAGGTGGATACTGCGCGGGGGCAGTCATTTCACGTTGTACTAAAAACTTATTAGCTGGAATTTTGAGCCAGAGCATTGGGTGGACTTTAGAATTCAATTACAATCTGAAAAGTGCCTCTAAAATAGCACCGGGGAATTATTTGATTTATTGCCTTTTAGTCACTTCAGGTTAAACTTGGTCACATCCCAGTACGGTGGTGTGTCTGAACGCCAGCCCTGCAGGAGCTCAGAATCGACTGTCTTGCGCGTCAAGAATGACTGCGTAGGGCTGAAACTCTAGCTGTGAATCGGATGTACAATCTAAGCCACGTGATAGTGTTTTCAGGTCCTTTTCAGACCATAACCACAATTTTAACACAGCAGGAAATAAATCTAGGTTATTAAAGTGAGACTACATATTTGCTTGAAGCATTAATCTGAGACTGCTGCTTCTAGCCCTGTTTTGGATGTTCTTCCCGTTGCTGTATTTTTAAATACTCATGATTAATCTTTTAAGCAAAAACCGTTCTGACAATCTTGCTTGGTAGCTAGTGAGAGCAAACAAATGAGCGGCGTCTTAAAATCCCTCAGTAAAAACCGAAGGAATCGGAAATACCGGAGCTCTAAAGCTCTCTTGCTCTCTGACGATTTCAGTCGGAAAAGAACCGTACAGCTGGCCCAGCGACGCCATGTGCGTGTGCCTCCCCGCAGTTACGCCCTCCAGGAACTGGAGCAGGTCGACACGCAGGAGAGAAAACGGGAGCTGCTCCTGCCCCCAGCATCGTCCCTGAAGCAGCTCTCCAGCCTCTCGCTCTCAAACGCAGGGGAGGGCGTGGAAAAACGCGGCTTGATCTTTCAGAAGATTCAGTGCTTTTGGTTAGGAAAGGAATGAGCGTAATTTGTGGCGGGGGGGGGGGAAGTGTAAATTATTGGAGAGCAGAGGGAGTACAACGTCTTTTTTTTTTCCCCCCCTGAGGTTAAAATGCTGCTTTTATATTCCTGGTCCGTCCTGCCCAGGCCTTTAAACCTTACAAAGCAAGGCAGCGTAGGACGTAGCGGTTCGTACCCCAGCCTTCAGCGCGAGGGTGCTGACAGGAGCGCGCCTGTCGCCGCTGCGCTTGGCCTGCGGGATGCTGGCTTCCCTCCAGGCTGCTGGGAATATGTTTATGCCTTTGGGGTCTTTGATCCTTGTTAGCAACGAGCTCCGAGCTACTTTTAAAACATCTTATTAGCATTCCGTGGGCTTGGAGGGTTCTTTGGACTTTATCTTGGCACTAGACCTAACCGCTTTAATGATGATGTTTTTGTATTTGTGCAGCATATGCTGCGAGTATTTACGTACCGCTTTGCCTGGAGCACAGCACAGCATCCATTGAGGATCGTGCTTTTCTTGTATTAATAGTCCGAAACTACAGGGCCGTGGTTAGGCAGGAGGTGTCACGCACAGGCGTACCGCAGAAAAAACTGGGTTCAGCTTGTGCAGTCCGGGGTCCTACCGTGCGAACGAGCTGTATTCTCACGTCCTAGCAAGAGGAACCGCATGATCACTTACGCGCTGAAAGCCTCAGAAACATAAAAAATTAGTTCTGCGCAGCAGATACTTACAGGCTTTAGCTTCATAAATAACCTGCAAATGCGACTAATTAATGGAAAGCACCTCCTACCACCTGCTGTGCTACTTCAACGTGCAGCCGTTCCTTTTCGCGATTCCGTCCAAGGTAATCCTTCAGTTCTGCTGCAGAGAGGCAGGTTTGAACGTTGTGAAGATGTTATCGCAGCGCACGAGGCTCCTGGGCTGAGCCCACCGATGAAGGCAGGGCCAGCCCTGAACGCAGGCAGCGTGGGCGGCTGCCCGGGGCGGCCGAACGGTCGTGGCCCATTTTGCTGCAGCAGAGCCCAGCCTTTTGCGGCCGGGCGTGCGTGGAGGAAGAGGACGCGGCAGGGCGGCCGGGGGGGGGGGGGGGTGCAGGGTCCGGAGGTCGGCGACGGCTGCGTGGGTGAGGGCTGGCTGCTTCTCCGCCTGTGTGACTTCAGGGGGACCGAGCTGCCCCCCCAGCCTGGCGGCTCCATGCAGAAGGCACGCTCTTCTCGTTGGATCCCTCCTAAGAGGGAATGACACGGGAAACACAGCTTGAAGGCCAGCCTCCGCCGGTTGCACCCAGGCAGCCACGGGCATGCCGCGTCAAAAGAGCAACTATTTTAGACTCTCTTGGCAGAGTATCGCTTGTGCGATACTCTCCCAAAAGAGATTTGGGACACTGGAGAAACAGCAGCTTAGCTCAACCAGGGGGAGCTTTTAGGTGGTGCTTTTACGCA